CACAAAAGAAAGAGAAACACAGCAGGATTCAAAAAAAAAAAAAAAAAAAAAAAAAAAAAAAAAAAAAAAAAAAAAAAAAAAAAAAAAAAAAGAAGGCCATCCCCAATCTCGCCCACCCACTTCCCGGTATTCGAAAGGCCTACCCCTACCCCAGCACGCCGCGTACTTAAAGGTCAGGCTTGCAATTGCACTGGTGTAGCCTCAACCCTGCCACTGCTCTTCTCTCGTAGCCGTGTCTGCACCAACACTACTCTGCCCAGCTACCTCCTTCCCCCAAAGAGAACACACCCTGATAATGAGGTTGGGGCGGGGGGGGGGAGGAGGAGGAGGAAGAGGTCGAGGCAAGGGGAAAAAATAGCTGAAGTAGCTTGAGTCTACATAGTACATCCAGGCCACAAAATGCCGCAACCCGTGGATGCATGTGTCGACTTGAGATAAGTCCAGATACGTCAAGGAGCATTTTCAGAACGCCGTACCATAACCCCCGATTTAATGAATTTCTGGTAAAAACTATTTACTAGTTTTCTAGCAAAATATTATATTTACTAATTTTCTAGTAAAATATTATATTTACTAATTTTCTAGTAAAAAATATTTACTAATTTTCTAGTAAAAAAATGTACTAATTTTCTAGTAAAAAATATTTACTAATTTTCAAAAGAACTTTCCTAAGATGGGTCACAGTAATTCCTAAAGTGGAAACCTTTTAAGAAGCCACAATTTCAGGAAATGTACGAGCGCCCAAATTCATCCGGCTATACTAGAACTGTTTCTAATCTTATTTTCAATTTTTTCTCCATGACCTATAGCTGGACCGAGTAGCTGGGCAAATTCATCCGAGTAGACACGTACGGGACACTACAGGAGCGGCCAAATTCATCCGAGTAGAAACGTTTCTAGTACTTTTCTCCGTGGTTTAAGCTATACCTATGTCAGATAGGGAAAAACTGCCCAATAACTACCGTATTCAGACGAATAGAACACGCGGTCATTATCAGGCGAATAATGACCGGCGTGTGTTCTATTACGTCCGTCTTCACCTGAATAGAACACCCGGTCATTATCGCTGTATCTAGACCGAAAGTTACCCAAATACGGCGGTCTTCACCTGAAATACTGCCCAATAACTACGGTATTTGGGTGACTTTCGGTCTAGATACAGCGATAATCACCGGGCGTTCTATTCAGGTGAAGACGGCCGTAATAAGCCCCAATATGCTTAGCAATTTCCGGCCCAGAAATTTAAAATTTACGTCATACTGGACTCTGGAGTCTCAGAGCGATAGTAATACTACTTCAAAATTTTAAACCACCAGTACTTGCAACTCTTGCGAGCCTCTTCAAGTTCTTGTCACGAGGTACAATAACGTTGCAGTCTCTCTCTCTCTCTCTCTCTCTCTCTCTCCCTCTCTTTTCCCACTCACTAACTACATACATCCTCTCTCTCTGTGTGTGTGTGTGTGTGTGTGTGTGTGTGTGTGTGTGTGTGTCTATGCCGAGCGCGTATACTACCTCCCCACTCAATCACCATACACAGCCTACTTATACTAACAGCAGTTTCATGAAAACGGACATTTTGTATGTGTGCTTATTTGGCCCTGTGAATGTCACAGTCTGAAGCCAGAACCCTCCTTGGATGTAGTCTTGAAACCTACTTAGTCGGCCCATAGGCTAACAATTTCAGCTAACTCCGGACAGACCCTCAGGACTTGGGCGCTGCACTGGTCACCATTTTTAGGGCCAAATGAGTAGCTTTCAATCTCGTTCAAAAATATTTATAAATTTGATACAAATCCCCGTCTCAACAAAACAGATGTTCTCTCTCTCTCTCTCTCTCTCTCTCTCTCTCTCTCTCTCTCTCTCTCTCTCTCGTGCGCATGCACACAGTCCCACTGTCTTCTTAACAATGCTGCAAAATCTGACTACACTGATGAGAGTGCTCTTTGCCCATCGCCATGCAAGTCCATCTCTTCCCACAGTTGTCCCCTGATCACCCCAACACCAGTGCCCCATCTTCCCCCTAGACGCAGCCACAACTGCTGCCAAGCAAGAGCAGCTACCCATGGTGTCAATGCTCAGTAGCCGGGGCACGTGCACTTGCAACAGAGCTAGTACTCACAGCCAGGGCCTCCCAATCTGTCGAACGCTGTGGCCTGCTCTTTCCTCTCTTTCCGGAGGCTGCCGCTGCCAGGCGGGTGCTGGGCCCTGGTACTGGGCCCTGGTACTGGGCTCTGGTACTGGGCCCTGGTGCTGGGCCTTCCAAAAAATCTTCCAGACTGGGTACATGGGCCTCGGCCTCTCCTAACGAAGGGGGAGGCTGGGCCTATTGGTCATCGTCGGAGAGGGGCTGCGACCAGACTGCCTTCAAGCCACCTCACACCATTCTCTTTTTTTTTTTTTTTTTTTTCCCCACATTATTCTCACCAGAGGCCTGGTGGATTGTTGCATGCTCAGCCTTCAATAAGGAACACGCAAAAAAAGAAAAAAAAAAAAAAAAAAAAAAGGAACAGGTCACTTTTCCACCGGCGGCCCCTTTCGGGCGAGAGCTGCTGAGGGCTAGAGACTCGCACTTGTACTCATAGGAATCGGATTCCACTGTGTGCGTTGTATTTGGGGGAAGGAGGGAGGGTCCAAGCTGCTGCTCTATCCCTTACTAAGGGACAGACCGTGATGTAATATAATATGCAAAAGAGTCCTCAAAGTTCAAACCCTTTTTCTTTTTTTTTTGTCCAACAGAAGATAGGCCCGCTTGGGTCGTAGAGAGAGAGTGCTCGAGCTGGCACTTTTTTTTTTTTTTTTTTTTTTGAGCTGGCACCTTTTGTCACACTGCTGCAATTGAGAAAGCAACTTCCAACCTTCTCAGCCTACCGTCTTCCCCCGAACGCAACGCACCCTCATTTTGGCTGTATCTGGCCGGAAATACAACTCTGTACATTCATTTTTAGGGTACGTTATGTTCGGGGGAAGACGGTAGCTTTGTTTGGCCCTCAAAACTCAGTCGGCAGAACCATCCCCCCTCTACAGGTACCAGTGCAGTCCAGTCTAAACTCAGCGCCAGATACGTCCGCTTAAGCGAACTGGACCTTGAACTGAGACCAGATTCGGCTGCTCATCGCCTTCTCGCCCCCTGCTGCCACTGTCACCTCTGCCCTCGGCCTGCCCATGCCCTCACGCGACCTCCCTCCTCCTCCTCCCTTGGCTCTCCTTGTCATTCCTCTTCCTCATGTGCATACAGACACGCAGACACCCACACACCCACACCCACACCCACACCCACACGTCAACAACACAGCCATGGGGAACCTTGCACCTTTTTTTTGTAAATGGATGGTGTGTGTGTGTGTGTGTGTGTGTGTGTGTGTGTGTGAGAGAGAGAGAGAGAGAGAGAGAGAGAGAGAGAGAGAGAGAGAGAGAGAGAGAGAGAGAGAGAGAGAGGCAGGGTAGGGTGGAGGGCAGTGAACAGGGCCAGAAGACAGTCCAGGAACTGTAGTCTGAAGCCACCTCTGCAGCTCAAGCACAACTGCTGCGCCAAAAAGGAAAGAAAATAAAAAATTCCACCACTGGGTACCACTCAACCCAGCCCAGACTGGCATAATCTGGTACTGCACCCAAATAGGGTGCAGGGTGCAAGGTGCACACTGCACTGAAATAGAACACACGGTTCAATTCTGCACCCAAATAGAACACAGGGTCCAATTCTGCACCCAAATAGAACACAGGGTCCTAACTGCACCCAAATCTCTTTCTGTCTATTCAACGCCATCAATCCCTACGGTCGTCACATGAATCGAACACCCACTGAAGTCATTATCGCTGTACCTGGACGGAAAGTGGCCCCAAATTCAGCTAACTTAATGACTGGCCATTCAATTCAGGTGAAAACCCTAGTTTTCCCAAGGGGTTCGGTGGCAATCGACCAAGGCTTGTGAAGAATCTGCACCACCAGAAACCAAGCAAAGTGCGCTGGTTAAAAAGGGAGCTGTGGTCCCCACAGTGAAAATTTGGTCAGAGGTGCTGAGAAGTGTGCCTGACTGGCTACTGCATCATCTTGTAGCTGCACTCCTCTTGGAGCTGGGAACTGGGACTCCGCCACATGGCACATCGGACATGGGACCTTGGATCATGGGACATGAAACCACAGATAGCGAGGACCTGGGACCTGGGACCCGGTACATGGGACCTTAGGCTGTAAGGCCTGCGATACCTGGGAACCTGGGAGCTGAGTATACCTGCGATGTGCCACCTGGGACATGGGACCTGAACCTGAGACCATGGAAACTGGGACACTGGGATGCTCTTTGAGACCTATGTCCTCTCTCTCTCTCTCTGGGGCTTCCTCTACCACGGCAGCCAACGAACCTCTGTACAATACACTTGGACGACAATGCTGCCCGGAATCCCCGGATGCAGACATGTGACTGATGACTCTCTCTCTCTCTCTCTTTCTCTCTCTCTCTCTCTGGCTGACAGCTTCTTCCTCTCCCACAGAAGCCAACAAGCCTATGTACAGGAGGCGTGGATGATGACTCTCTCTCCCTCTCTCTCTCTCTCTCTCTCTCGGGCTGATAGCTTCTTCCTCTCCCACAGAAGCTGACAACCCTATAGGAGGTGTGGATGATGACTCTCTCTCTCTCTCGCTTTGTGTGTGTGTGTGTGTGTGTGTGTGTGTGTGTGTATGTGTGGGGCTGATAGCTTCTTCCTCTCCCAGATAAGCAAACAACCCTATCTACAGGTGGGCCTGGTGGTGTGGACGACAATGTGGAGGTGTGGATGACGATTCTCTCTCTCTCTCTCTCTCAGTCTGGGGCTGATAGCTTCTTCCTCTCCCACAGAAGCCAACAACCCTATGTACAGGAGGTGTTGATGATGCTTGGGCCCGGTCTGCCCGGAAGCAATGATCCAGCAGGAGTAACTGCCAAAAGAAAACAAAAAAAGAAAAGGAGCAACTGGCACACAGTCTAGGTGGGAAAGCAGGTGGAAGGTATGGTTACGGAAACAACCGGAAGACGGCATGGACACGATGAGCGAAAAAAGAAAGCCTGACAAAAAACAAACAAACCATGAGGCTAGGATGGACCCACTCTCACAGGTCAAGGCGTAAAGCCAAGTAGACGCCATGCTGGAGGAGACAAAAAAAGGACAGCCGCTGCAAGATCGTCGACCACTTATGGTAATGCTTGAAACGCCTGTTCAGGTCGTCAAGACGATCCGCTGCATCGTCATCAGGCTGACCAAGATCTGCAGCCTCTTCTCCTGATGGTACCTCTCTCTCTCCCACTGGTCGACCGTCTCTTTCTTCGCTGCGAACTTCACCTTCTCTCTGTGCGTCTCCGTCTCTGCCTACTTCTCCTTCTCTGTGTACTTGTCCTTCTCTGCTGCACTCTGCGATCCCACGGACCGTGGACATGATGCGTAGAGATTCAGTCTCAGTGTGATCGATGTCGGTCGACGGCACGTCCACAGAATGAATCCGGCGGATGGACGGATTTCGTACGGCGCGACGGCGAAGAGACCTCTCCTGTGCCAGTGTTGTCACACTCGTCCTCACTGCGGAACCCGAACCGTTCATGACCCGTCCTCCTCGCTCCCTCTTCATTCTCGCAAACATAAGCTACGCATCGAAAAAATTCCAAGCGAAACGTAGAAACAACGGGGTTAAGGGCCGGCAATATATATTGCCACATAAACTGTCTCTTATACACATCTAGATGTGTATAAGAGACAGGCTCTATCCCTTACTAAGGGACAGACCGTGATGTAA